CACATACCCCCAAGCATACGAGAATCCCCTTTTTCAAGAATCCCAAAGCAGCACCCGAAGCTCTGAACCCTAGTTCTGGGGCCCCCCCCCCCCTCCACCCCATGTGTGTCTATGTACGAAAAGCATATATATTTATATTTATATTATTTTATATTTATATTTATGTTCATATTTATATGTATATGTATATTTATGTTTATGTTTATGTGCATGTTTATGTTTGTGTTTATGTTTATGTTTATACACACATATAGAGCCAACTTTCTTGAGCCAGCCAGAGAATCCATTGCCACGAGGGTTGTAGGGTTTAGGTCTTCAGCAGTATCTATTTCAGCGATGCTTTACCTTCGTCACAACTAGAGCCACAAAGGCCTGAACAATTGCATTCATCGTTTATGGTGCTGGGTCTCTTTACGCCTGGAAAACCCCGAAGCCTCATGCCTGCATGACTGCATGCATGTATGCGTGCGTGTATATGTATATGTATATGTGTATGTGTGTGTGTGTGCGCATGTCTGCAGGTGTGTCTGTGGTTATGGGTGTGTGTGTGTGTGTGCGTGCCCCCCAACCCCCAGAACCCTACCGCCCCCCAAAGCTCTCTGAAGCCGCCTATCCCTAACCCTAGGGTTTAGGGTTTAGGGTTCAGGGTTAGCCTCCGCTTGCGGGACCTTTGGGATCCTGGGATCCTTCTAAAAGGTTCCAGCAACGCCTTTCGAGGAGTCCGGAGCAGGCTGGCACGGTTTAGGGTTTAGGGTTTAGGGTTTAAGGTTTAGGGTTTAGGGTTTAGGGTTTAGGGTTTAAGGGTTTAAGGGTTTGAGGCTTCGGGTTTAGGGGGAAGGTGCTGGTGTGGCAAGGGCTTTTAAGGGTTTTTATGAAGCTGAGAAGGGCTTGTAAGGGATTTGGGTGGAGTTTACAAGGGTTTTGGGATGCGATTTGGGGTTGTTTGAGTGCAGGGCTTAGGATTTTTAGGGGGAACGGGGAGGGGGGACAGCACAGTAGAATATAGGCTTTGGAGGGGTGGGGTGTGAATTTTCAAGCTTAGATTTGATGGATAGGCTCCTGCAGACGCGGGCGGGCTTGGTGTCTAGAAGAGTTTACAGCCAGATGCGCCAGAAAATACCTACTATTCCAATAGGCCAACAAACCGAAAACCCTAAACCCTAAAGCCCCAAAGCCCCGCCCCCTAAGCCATCAAAGCCCCCAAGACCCCAAGACCGTATCTAAAGTCCAAAAACCCAGAGTATCCCCAAAGCCTATACCTTACAGATTAGCCTATGCCCCTAAACATAATCTCACCAAGATTGGCGACACAGGGCTTCATTGGGCTTATGGTATGCCAGGTCATTCGCTATTGCTGGGGCGGCGAGCCTCTCTGGTTGCATGTCCTCAGCTGAGATATGAGAGGGGGGGGGGAGGGGCACCCATTTTTGTAGGGTTTAGGGTTTAGGGTTTAGGGGTTAGGGGTTAGGGTTTAGGGTTTAGGGTTTGGGGGGGGGGGAGAATTCTTTTTTTCATCCTTGTGTGTTGGAGTACCCCTAGTTTGGGAATGGCAGTTTTTGACATTATGGCCCCCATGAGCCCCATAAAAAACACCATAGTCTACAACCCCCCCCCGTCCCCCCCCGTCCCCCCCCGTCCCCCCCGTCCCCCCCCCGTCCCCCCCCGTCCCCCCCCGGCCCCCCCCGTCCCCCCCCGTCCCCCCCCGTCCCCCCCCCGTCCCCCCCCGTCCCCCCCCGTCCCCCCACCCCCCCCCCCCCCCCCTCGCCCTCGCATCATAAACTCTGCCTGGTTTAGTTTTGGGGGCTTTGGGCTGTGGGCTTTTGATTAGAGCCACAACGCCGAGGTCAACAGCGGCGCTCGCACCCACCTGCGAATTCCAAATGAACTCCGAAGCTTTACCCTATGCTACCATTCAGGGTGCATCAGCCCCAGACCCTAAACCCTCAGTCCCGAACCCTAAAGTCCACAAACCCCATAAACCCCATATACCCTATACACCCCATAAACCCTAAAAACCCTATAAGCCCTATCAACCCTATAAACCCTATGAACCCTATACACCCTAAAACCTAAACTTAAACCCTAAACCCTAAACCCTAAACCCTAAACCCTAAACCCTAAACCCTAAGCCCTAAGCCCTATAGGGCTTATAAGCCCTAAGCCCTAAGCCCTAAGCCCTAAGCCCTAAGCCCTAAACCCTAAACCCTAAACCCTAAACCCTAAACCCTAAACCCTAAACCCTAAACCCTAAACCCTAAACCCTAAACCCTAAACCCTAAACCCTAAACCCTAAACCCCAGCCCACCGCCAAAAAAGCCGCCCCCAAAATGTTGGTGCTTGGGCGGCGGCTGCAGAGGCGCCGCCGAGCTCCAAGCCGCCAAAGTGCGCGTGTGGCGGCTTGGGCCGCGTTTTTTGGGGGGTGGAAGGTTGAGGGTTTAGGGTCTAGGGCTAGGGTTTAGGGTTTAGGGTTTAGGGTTTAGGGTTTAGGGTTTAGGGTTTAGGGTTTAGGGTTTAGGGTTTAGGGTTTAGAGGGTTCAGGGGTTTAGGGGGTTTGGCGTCCGGGGTTCGGGTTAGGCGTTTGGGGGTTTGGGTTGTTGTTGCTTGTTTTTTGGTTTTGGGGTTCACTGTTTAGGGGGTCTGGGGTTTGGGGTTTGGGGCAGTTCAGGGTTTAGGGTCTATGGGGTTTAGTAGGGCTTAGTGGTGTAGTAGGGTCGAGGGTTTAGGGCTTAATAGGGTTATGTAAGGGCTTTACAGGGCTTTTAGGGTTCAGCAGGATTCAGGGTTCAGTTTAGGGAGTTTAGCGTTTCGGGTTTTAGAGTGTAGGGCCGGGTCGAAGGTCTTTCACTTGTTTCAAGCCCTGCGAAACCATCGAAAGGCGGTCAAAAAGCGGTCACGTGGGGGGCCGACCTAATGGTAGACCTCTTTCACAGCATGTTCCCAAAAACGCTAAGCCGAAAGCCTAAAGCCTCAGCCCTACGCCCGCTGTTCACAGTACCCAAAGCTGAGGGGTTTAAGCCCTTATCCCCTACATCGCTCAAACCCTAAAGCCGCAGTTAACTTCCAGCCTATCTGGCACAAGACAGTGCTCGCCACAGTCAGCGCCCCAACCCTAGACAACTTACAGTCAAAAGGGCAGCCTGCATGTTTGACTCTAAGCCCGACCCCCCCCCCCCCTCCCCCCCCGCTAAAACCGAACGAACATCAACTTCAGGTCGCCCTAATGTTTAGGGTCAGGGCTTAGGGCTTAGGGTTCAGGGTTTAGGTTCAGGCCTTAGGGTTTAGGGTTTTAGGATTTAGGAACCCTAAACCCAAAGGCCCTCAACCAATCTCCGGCTCCCGTGAGGCGCCAGCCGCTGCTTCGAGCTCCAGTTGCTGTGGCAATCTCAGGATGATTGCTGCGGGTCGGAAGGATTCTCTTGGGCTGAAGGGGGTTGGGAGTTTAGGGTTGAGGATTTTGGGGGTATTCCCTGAACCTGAACCCTAAACCCAAGTGGTTTCTCTGTGTTCGGACCCGTCGCAGCCAGGTCTCGAGAAATTGGCCGTTTCGGGTCTATAGGGTTTAGGGATTGGGGTTGGGGGGGTTTTGGGTTTACGGTGTAGGGACCTATTTTGGTGGACCTTTTTTGGGTTTCTCTTTCAGGCTACTCCTTCCCCGTGCCTGTTATAGGGCTTAGGTACGTCAAGGGCCCCAAAATCCGAAGCTCTAGAAGAACCCAGAACTCCATCTGACATCACTGGAGGCCCACGCTGCATGCGCAACTTGCTGCAGCCGTACGCTGGCATGCATTATTTCCGGGGTTTGAGGGCTCAGGATGTAGGGTATGAAGTTTCCATGCCCCGCCCACCTGCTCAGTCTAGGAGACCCCAGTGGAATTCTTTGCTTCCTTCTTTCTTTCGAGGTTGAGTTTGTTGACACCTTTCTATTCCCTAAACCCTAAACCCTACACCCTAAACCCCCCTGAACCCTAACTAGGAGCTCTAGCACCCAAGGTACCCTCGGCGGAATCGAGCGCTCTGGGCATGGACTGGGGTACCGTGGTGATCTTCACTTGCTCCAAGGCTCATACATGGCGGGAATAGTAAATGCTGAAACCCCAAGCCCCAAACCCCAAACCCGAAACCCCAAACCCTAAACCCTAAACCCAAAACCCTAAACCCTAAACCCTAAACTCAAGCCCCAAACCCTAAACCCTAAACCCTGAACAACGAGCCTCCCTGGATTCTGAGCCGTGCATGCCAGGACTGTCCTTGTGAGGACCCGTGTGAGGAGTTCCTCGTCATCCAGCCTTCTCTTTAGTGGCCGTTTGCTGAAACTTGGTAGCCCAGTGGTACGATGTTCCATTTTTTTGGGTTCAGGCTTCCCTTATGAAGTAACCATCCCAAAAAAGGGTATATGGTTGCTGGGCTACCGAGTTACTGGCAGACACTGAAACCACGTGAGACTGTGAGACTCTGCGGCTTGGCGGGGTAACAAAAGCACCACTGCCCTTTCGCCCACAAGCTCGCTGTGCATGGTTGCGGACGTCGGCTCTGTATTGAATGCCTCAACCCTAAACCCTAAACCCTAAACCCTAAACCCTAAACCCTAAACCCTAAACCCTAAACCCTAAACCCCTTGCACTCTTTGCTGTAGGATCTTCGCAGAGCACGTGCAGATGTGGAAGCCACTGGCTTCTTTTGCCAAAGGTTTTCATGGTTGGCTTATGGTTTAGGGTTTAGGGTTTAGGGTTTAGGGTTTAGGGGTTCATGGTTCATGTACATACAGCGCTCATGCTACGTTGCATACTTAGTGGTGCTTAGCAGGGAGTTTTGGGAAGTTGGTTCCCTATTTCCTTATCAAAGGCTTTAAAGCTTTGTTTCCGTGGGACTAATCAAGGAAGATGCTGTTGCGTGCTTCCCTTCTAAGAACTACCAAGTATATCCGATAGGCCCCAAAATCCTGAACAGATTTCTGGAAATTGGGGCCCGCCCCGCCCCTGCGCCCACACGTGGTAGAAGCAATGTCCGAGTCTGCCCCACCACGCAAAGCGGGATGGCTGGACAGCGACAAGGCACGTTACTTGAGCTTGCGTTGCTTGCGAAGCCACTCAAATTAAGATGCTGTGCACCCTATAGTATAGTATTCATTGCAGGTTAATTACCTTCTCGAAACTCCTTGTTAAGGGCTTCAACTATGCAAGCAAGTAGCTGGTCCCTTATCTCGAAGACAACCTCATAGGTCCTGCCTGGAAAAACCCCAAAACAAAGCCTTGTTTCGAAACCCAAAGCCTTGTGTCCAAACGCCCTAAAAGTTTCGGCGACCCGCAAAAGGTTCTGCACAGGTTCTTAAGAAGTCCCAAACCCTTGCGGTCCCTTCTTTGGGAGGACTTTCACCAGTTCGTGAGCCGCATGGTCCAGGGTGCAGTGTTGCGGGAGTACTCGGATGAGCAGCTATGGTCGGCCGCTTTCCTTGGTGGTTCGGGGTTCTGGGCTTAGGGTTTAGGGTGTTGGGTTTTGCGGGGGGTCATTCCAGGCAATCTTCTATTGATTTGGGTCTACAGTGATCGTGTTGGGGATTTTTTGTTCGGAGCATGCAAATGTGAGAGGGGGGGGATGCCATGGTTTTTTTCAGGGTAGTTCCTTAGCTAAATGCAAGCAGAGAGTAACCCAGAAATAGCGAAAGAGCGTTCTGCAAGCAAGTATTTCTTGAAAAGTACTATGGTGGACTTATTTCGGGTTCATTTCAGGCTTATTTTGAGGCTATTTCGGGCTTGTTTTTTTGTCGCTATTTCGGGCTTCTTTTGACTCTATTGTTTCAGCCTTGTTTTGGACAACGAGGTGGCCCCTCCGCCCCTGCATACCCCGGATCCCATGAGCTTCAGGGCCAGCCTAGCCCTCTGATTCTGCGTATAAAGGGATTCTACTTCGGAACTTTGAGGTTGTGTGTGCCCTTGGGTTTGGGGAGTTTGGGGGCCCTGTTTAAAGAGGACCTCTTATGAGGAGTATATTAAGGGAAACCTCTAGGGGTACTACCGTAGGGGTACGAGTCTTAACCCCTTGAGTTTAGGGGGCGTTCGTTTGGGTGCTAAGAAAGAGCAGGAAATTTTTGTAGGCTGGAAAGCGTACTGTGGAGCTGATCTTTTGGCCTGCTATAGTACATACGTATAATGGGGGTTTGGGGGGTTCAGGGGGTTTAGGGGCTTTAGGGGGTTTTAGGGGGTTTTAGGGGGTTTTAGGGGGCTTAGGGGGTTCAGGGGGTTTAGAGTTTGGGTGAGCCTAAGTCCAAAGGCCTAACTGGGCCTAATTTCCAGATCTGGAACACCCCCCTCCACTTGCGAAAGCTGAAGTCTGCTGCAGATGGCACTGCTTCCAAAAATCCTAAACCCCTAGAGTTTAGGGTTTGGGGTTTAGGGTTTAGGGAACCCCTAGACCCCTAGACCCTAGACCCCAACTTGGCGAGCTTCGAAACCGGGCTTGTTTTAAACGAAGGCCTCTCAGGCGGACTTTATGTCATTATATTCAAGGGTTGTCGATATTGATTTGCACGATGCATCTCTAACACATGAGAAGTGAGAGAGAGCGAGAGAGAGAGAGAGAGAGAGAGCAAACAAGTTTGCAGTGCAGAAGCAGAAGCAAAAGCAGAAGCAGAAGAAGAAGAATAAGAAGAAGTTTGTACGACCCGAAGTGTCGCGACTTCATCTGGCCCGTAAGCACGGAACTTGTTGAACACAAGCCTCCCCCGCTGCATTCCAGCAAGCTCGCGAGGTTATTTCCAACCGAGCAGCCCGTCATCGGCTCTCTTTGCTGCAGAAATGTCGGGGCAAAGAAGGCCCAGCATCCAGTAGCAACAGACGAGCTTAGGGTTTGGGGTTTAGGGTTTAGGGTTTAGGGCATCTTGTCTTGCTTTCATGGGTGTTCTTCATGGTCGTTGCATATTTTCGTTTCTGTGCTCTCACTTTCCATTCTCTTTCGACAGCGCGAGCACTATCAAAGCAAATCAGAATCACGCGACGACTGCAACTTATCATAAAAGTGACCTTCATCATCATCGCTCTTGTTCTCAGTGCTGCACTCAGTCTTTCTAACTTCGTCTAACGTCATCCGCATATGGTTTTCAGGGGTGTATAGGATCCTGGACTTATATAGGGCTCAAGTTTGTCAAGCAAATTAGGAGCACGGCTTTTGCTGAGTGCAGTTGCGGACGTATCGACAGCTATGTGGGTCTCATGAGTTAGGGTCCGCTTGCGAGGTCCCGGTGCGGAAGCAAGGGCTCGAAACGGACGCCCACCCCAAAACCCTGCAGCCCTATATCCCGAAGCTCTGAACCTTCCAAACCCAACATCCCTAAACCACCCAAAACCCTGCATCCCAAGCAACTGGAGGTCGGCTTGATGTCACCTGCTTCTGCGGCTTACTACGAAAGCAGCCTTGTTTTGGTCCTTTGGGGGGTCTCTGAGGGCTTTTAACGGGGGCAAGGCAGCATCCCTTAATGTAGGGTTTAGGATTTAGGGTTAAACCCTAAACCCTAAACCCTAAACCCTAAACCCTAAACCCTAAACCCTAAACCCTAAACCGTTTAGGGTGTAGGCTTTAGGGTTTAGGGTACCAAACCCAAGCTATATTAATTCGGGATGTGTTGGAGTCTCTGCGAAGCGCAGCCCAAACTCTCATTCAGTTAGTAAACCCAAGCCGAAGCCCTATCCAATTGCAACTAGCTGGTTTAGGGTTTAGGGTTTAGGGTGTAGGGTTGAGGGTTTAGGGTTTAGGGTTTAGGGTTTAGGGTTAGGGTTTAGGGTTTAGAGTGTAAGACCCACAAAATTCTTCAAGTAAGCTGAGGTAGGGAGGCATGTGGCCCGGAGTACATGCAGCTGGCGACCTGCGTCCGCTCCAGCCGCTGGGTTTGAGCTCTGGTTTTCTTGTTTGTGTTTAGGGTTTAGGGTTTAGGGTTTAGGGTTTAGGGTTTAGGGTTTAGGGTTTAGGGCGTAGGGCTTAGGGCTTAGGGCTTAGGGTCGAGGCCAGGAATTAAGAGCTCTGAAGCCCCAAAAGGCTCCAATTCCAAGCGCCAGAGAAAAGCCCTCAACACCCTGGGTACCCTGAGCCCCTAGCCTCCACAGTGTGGAGGCGGGTGATTTAGGGTTTAGGGTTTAGGGTTTAGGGTTTAAGGTTTAGGGTTTAGGGTTTAGGGTTTAGGGTGACTTAGCACTTTTGAGGGAGGGACGAAGGGCTTCGGAGGGTAGGCTCCGGGGCTTGAGAGCCTTCCGGGGTTTAAGGGTTTTGCCGTGCTTGGCCTTTGTGTTGGAGGGTTTAGGGTTTTTGTTGGAGGGATTTAGGGTTGACACCCTAACTCCAAATCCTGAACCCGAAACCCTAAACCCCAAACCCCAAACCCTAAACCTGACACCCTAAACCCCCAACCCGAAACCTCGAACCTCATAGGGTTTCGGGTTCAGGGTGCGATGAACCTTGGGCCCAGGTAAGTCGCTGGATGCAGGGCCGGAGCTGTGCCAAGACCAGGTGGCGGCCCTGACGGGCTGCGTGCGCGCGGAGTGGAAGGTGGGAGGTTTGGGGTTTAGGGTTTAGGGTTTGGGGGGTTTAGGGGTTAGGGTTTGGGAAATTAGGGTTTAAGGGTTTAGGGGTTTGAGGGGTTCTGTAGCTGGATTGGGACTTTTTGCATTTCTTGGTAGGCCCTTGGGATATTTTCCCCAATGGCTTCGCACTTTGCTCTGGCTTCAGGGTACATTGACGACATGGGAAATCGGTAGATGGTTCAGTCAGCGAGTCTGTCGGGTCTGAAGAGATTGAGTCTGGTGCATAGGCTTGCTAACAGTTCATCTATTTCTTGACTATACAGCCTGAAGAGAGAGAACATAACCTGACTAAAGGTTCCCTAAACCCTAAACCCTAAACCCTAAACCCTATATGAGCCTTGCGAAGTTCCCCGAGACTTGAAGTGCAGGCCTTCCTCATGGCGTCCTCGCCGAGCCTGAAGCCGGATGCTCTGGAACGGATCGAGAAGATCGTGCAGATCCCGGGGTGAGAAAAGAGGGGTTTAGGGTTTAGGGTTTAGGGCTTAGGGTTTAGGGTTTAGGGTTTAGGACCCTATTGCTACTGGTTCTTAGGAGGGAATCAGAGAATCAGGTACCCTATAGAATCACTTAAAGGGTGTGTGTGTGTATATATATATATATACATATATTTTATACTTATATACAGATCTGGTCACTTCTCGAAACTATGGTCTCTTTTGGATTCCTTATGAGATGGTGGCCAATGTTGATTGTCATGTGAGTCATGAGTTTGGGCTGGGCAGCTCCACTCTCTGAAAACCCATGCAGGGATCCCTAAACCCCAGACCCTAAACCCTAAACCCTAAACCCTTGTTACACGACATCCTGCACCGCGCGCCTCAAGTTGGAGGGGCAGCCGACATCTCCCAAGAGTAGGAGTTGGGTGCAGTTGTATCAATTCCTTGCCATGGCGTTGGCTGGCTGCGCGATGCGAAGCGTCTTGAGAAGGTCTTCTGTGGGCATGCCAATGAAGACTCTGGCGCCTCTGTCGCTTCTGTCGCCTTCGCGGATGAGAGCTACCACCATGGTACCAAGGGCCCAGTCTGCGCGATGGCATGCGCAAGATGCACATCAGTTGAACCCAACTCCGCTTGGTGTCAAGCTTTCTGCTGAACAGCCTGTGAACCATCAGTTCCTAGGTAGGCCCCTGGGACATTTTATGTTTTCCCTTTTTGGGTTTAAGAGATACTATTCAGGAATATTTTTTCAGAGGGTTGTAAGGGGCCATCTTAGGTTCCATCGCCACTCCACAAGGTACAGCCGAACCTCTCGTGAGGTTCTGGACGCTTTGGACAAGGACTGGATGGAGCAACCCCACTATGAACCTTAGCAGTAGAGTAGCTATTCTTTAACCTTTCTTGGGCAGTATATTCCCTCTAGAATCCCAAAGGTTAACCTTTAGTTCCCCAAGGATATTGGATAAGTAAGGAACCTATCACGTGGCAAGACCGGGTTGCTCTGAAAATCGTCACTTGGCTTTCTAGGGCTTTAACCTTTTTGGGCTTTTGTAGAAACTACAACAAGGAGCCTAAAAGTTAAACTTTTAGGAGGGGTTCAGAAGTCAGCCAAGTAACCCTAAACCCTAAACCCTTTTAGGAGAAGTCAGCCAAGGTCAAGTTCCTCCGAAGATGCAGCGATGCTTACTTCAAGGACCGACTCCTAGACCGAGCCTTGGCTGTTGCTTCGTAGGGAATGAGAGGGAATGAGGTATACCCTACAGAATCCCTTAAAGGGTATGTAGTAGGGGGATGTAGGGTACCTCATTCCCTAGTAGGCAACAGTAAGGAGCCTGCATGCTGGAGACTATTGCTGCGGTGCCAGGCTTTGTGGCCGGGATGGTTCATCACATGCGCTCCCTGCGCCGCATGGTCCATTGCAACTGGATCAAGCCCGTCATGGACGAGGCAGAGAATCTGGGTAGCCCAGTGGTGCCCGTTTCCCTGTTTTTTGGCTCAAGGCTCCGTTATAAAGTAACCCTAAACCCTAAACCCGAAACCCTAGTATGGTTGCTGGGCTGCCAAGGAATGAGCGCATGCATCTCATGACCTTCATGGAGTTATCCAACCAACGATGGCACCAGAGAGTCATGGTGGTTTGCGGCCAAGGTGTGTTTCTTGGTAGCCCAATGGTACCCCTTTCCCAGTTTTTGGATCAAGGCTCCCTTTTTCAAGTAGCCAACCACAGAAAGGGTACCCTTATCGCAATCTGGTTACTGGGCTACTAAGGTTCTTTGCAGGCTACACACTGTTCTACATCCTCACTCCCCGAATCGCGCATCGCTTCGTGGGCTATCTGGAAGAGGAGGCAGTGCATACCTACACAGAGACTCAGAAGCCCAGTGGTGCCAGTAGCCCTGTGGTACCCTTTGCCCCTTTTTTTGTTGGCTCTGGGTTCCCTTTTTTAAGCAACCAACCCAACTTATTGTGATATGGTTGCCGGGCTACCAAGGAGATGCTCAAGATGGTCGATGCTGGCAAGATCAAGAATGTCCCTGCCCCTCAGATCGCGATCAAGTACTGGAATATGCCCGAGGATGCCACCCTGCGGGACGTAATTCTGGTAGTTGCTTCCTCAGATGCTCCGCTTCTCTGCTCTTGACACATGTCGCAAGATCTTTTCGCAGCTTTCGTCATGTGAGAGACGACCCAACGCAGACTACAACCACCCTAGAACCAAGGTTCGTGCAGATGAGGCAGATCACCGGCTTGTGAACCACCACATGGGCGACCTCATCGCCAACGCCAAGGACAAGGCGCCTGTCAGGGACGGCTGCAAAGACTACAAGTGCCTCGCCTGAGGGTAAATTGCTGGGGATGTGTTGGACACTTCCATGCTGGATAATTATTAGGAGATGTTGGCAGTATCTTGAAGATTGATATACATATATATATATATACACAGGCCGTTAAGGCAGACCCTTGACGCGACCTTAACCCTAAACCCTAAACCCAAAAGGATCTTGGAACCAAGGCCCTGCGATGAATTCCATGTGGATCTCAGCATTGATGTCGGTCCAACAGTCGCCCGCAAGTCTAAAGGGGGGGTTTAGGGTTTGGGGGTTAGGGGTTCAGGGTTTAGGGTTTGCGGGCAGAGTTTGAGTTTTGTCGTGGGTGCAGTGATGCTAGCTCAAGCTCCAAATCTATGCCCTTGTGGCACCAGATGTGGAGTGTGCTGGGGCAAGGGATCCCGGCCGGTGTCTGAGCAGTGACACGCACCAGTGACGGCGGAGGTATTACTCCAGAAATGCACAGCCGCATGCGTAGCTGAGCTTACCGAAGTCTGGAACAAGCTCACAAGCATATCTCGGCATTTGCATGGTGTGACTGTGATGGCCCCCTGCGAAAAAATATGGCCCTGAACGTGCTGCATATGCTTGAATCCATGCGGGACAATGATCATTCTCTAGCCCTGTCCCGTCAGGTTCTGGTTGCGCAGAAGCCTGGTGGTTTCCTGCCTTTGTATTTCAGTGCAAGGCAGGCCACCAGCTGAGAGTTGAAACTACATGAGGCCATGTTTCCGTTCGGACCATGGCTCGCTCCTTCAAGCATTGTTCAGACCCTAAACCCTCTACATCCTCCGCTCTCGGCTGACGGGAACGTGACGGAATCTGAAGTTAGCCATTTAAGGTTAAGTCGACCACCGGACAGTGCGGGCTTGTTAGATTAAACCCCTTCATATCCGCCCCGATAGAATTTTAAGGAACATTCCTTGGAATTGGGGGAGCCCAAGTGAAACCCTTAACCCTTAAACCAATAAACCCGTAAACCCATATAACCCTGAACCCATAAACCCTAAACCCTAAACTTTTGAAGTATGGGATATTGGGGGTTCTGCGCTCTGCGGATCATGACGGTTCGAGCCGCGGCAATGGCGGCGCTAATGGCCATGCGGCCCTGGCCGTCCGCTGGCAGCTTAGGGGGTTTAAGGTCGTGGGGTTTAGGGTTTAGGGTTTAGGGTTTAGGGTTTAGGGTTTAGGGTTTAGGGTTTAGGGTTTAGGGTTTAGGTTTAGGGTTTAGGGTTTAGGGGTAAGGGGTTTGGGGATTAGGGTTGAAGTTTAGGGGTTAGGGTTTTCGAGGTTCAGGGGTTAACGGGCCTTCCAGGCTTGGGGCGGGTAGTCGGCTGAAGGCGTACGGTTGGTTGTCTCGGACCTCTAAACCCTAAACCCTAAACCCTAAACCCTAAACCCTAAACCCTAAACCCTAAACCCTAAACCCCAGAAGAAGGACGTGGGCTCCCTTCTCAGCCTCTTAAGAAGCCCAAAAGGGTACCCTTTTTTTCTTACCCTACTCTAAGGGTCCATGTACCTCATGACTATATACCTAGGCCCCCCAAGGTCCCTTTCTGGGAGCTACGTTTAGGGCCGGGACTTCCCTGTTCAGGTAAGGTGGAACCTTGGGGTTACGCGTGGGTCTAGTTGTGATTCAGGTAAGGTGAGGGTGGTGGGCATTCCGCCTCTAGGACAACCCTAAACCCTAAACCCTAAACCCTAAACCCTAAACCCTAAACCCTAAACCCTAAACCGGACGTTGCTGACTGAGAGTCGCCGCGCCCTACAGTCTTAAACTTTCTTGGGCCATAGTTGAACTTTCCACTTTTTTGGGTCTCCTTATTTAGTAGGAACAATAAGGGTCAACTTTTTCCCTTGGTTATTGGAGAAGTAAGTAAAGCCGGATCATATGTTAAAGCACCATTAGTGCCATAGGCTTTTAGTGCTCTAAACCCTAAACCCAACACCCTAAACCCCAAACCCGAAACCCTAAACTGCTTAGAAGAACTTTGAACCTTGGAGCCCTGTTGGAGAGAATCTACTGTAACTCGCCACAGCCTCAGCACGGCGTCCCTTCGAAGGGCTTCAGGGTTTAGGGTTTTGGCTTCAGGGTTTTCACAGGATTTTGGTTTAGGGTTTCGGGTTTTGGGGATTTCGGGAGGTTTGTTTAGGAACCCTCAACCCTAAACCCTAAGCCCTAAGCCCTAAACCCTAAACCCTAAACCCTAAACCCGGGTTGTGGGGGATTTTGTGTTTAGAGCTACGGAACGAGGCTGCCTTCTTTAGTTCGGCGCCGACTCGCCGCCTCAAGCAGGCAGGGTGCACCGTGAGGCGTTTCTGGTTTAGGGTTTAGGGTTTAGGGTTTAGGGTTTAGGGTTTAGGGTTTAGGGTTTAGGGTTTAGGGTTTAGGGTTTAGGGTTTTGCTTGAGAAACCTTTAAAATTTGCTTAAGAAATTCACAAAAATAGAAGATAATAATCCCTATATTGCCCGCAGAAGGAGGGATTTGGGTTCTTTTTTTGTTGGGGGGGAGGGGGGGGTCTTGAGCAATTAGTAGTCTAGGGTTAGGTTTTAGGGTTCAGGGCCTAGAGGTCCTGTTAAGGGCGTTCATTGACCTTCAACTTTGTTGCGGGCCCGAGAGAAATCATCTCTAAGGTAGACCTGGACCTTCAGGTTGCCCCTAGGAAGGTCGGGAAGTGATCACCTTCACCCCCCTCCCTAAACCCTAAACCCGGAACACGCCCTTGGCTGGATTTCTAAGTGCACCCTACCTGGGATTTCCCTCCCTGCAATTGGAAACTCCGAGCAACCCCAACCTTACTTAGGGCTTGTGGTTTTAGGGTTTAGGGTGTAGGGTGTGGGGTGTAGGGTTTAGGGTTTAGGGTTTAGGGTTTAGGGTTTAGGGTTTAGGGTTTAGGGTTTAGGGTTTAGGGCTTCACCCTCAAGCCTCAAACCCTACTTAGGGTTTATGATGCCTTGACCCTCGAACCTTGTGCTGGGGAGTAGTGATGTTAGCCCCAGAACGGCAGGAAAGGATGGGAGTGGGTTTGAAGAGAGTGCACATGATCCCCCGGCCACCTAAACCCACAATCCTTGAAACCCTCCGTCCCGGACCCCCCCTCCCTTGCGCCGCTAACGACCTGGACCCTAAGTCACCTGAGTCTTTGGCATCTTTTGCATCGTTTGCGGTCCTAGGGCTCAATAGGGCTAAATTCTTGAAACCCCAAACCGCAAAACCCAAACCCTAAACCCCAAACCCAAACCTCAAACCCTGAACCCTGAACCCTGAACCTGAACCCTAAACCCTAAACCCTAAACCCTAAACCCTGACCCCCCCCAACCAAAAAAAAGAAAGCCAGGTGCCGGCGTTTCATCGAACATTCCTTGCCTCGCCCTCAGCGGGAGCCCACTAGCCCACGCCTGTGGGCCTTAGGGTTTCGGGATAAGGGTTTCGGGTTTAGGGTTTAGGGTTTCGTAGGGCTTAGGGTTTAGGGCTTAGGGCTTAGGGCTTAGGGTTTAGGTTTGTGTGTGTGTGTGTTTTTTTTTTTTTGGGGGGGGTATGTTTGACGGTTTACAAGGTTTGTAGGGTTTGTAGGCTTGATACGGTTGATAGGGTTTGCAGGCTTTTAAAGGGCTTAGTAGGGTTTATGGGGTTTAGGTTTTTGGGTAGACCCTAATCCCTAAACCCTAAACCCTAAACCCTATAGACCCTAAGACAGGTGCCATCTGCCTCCATCCCTTGCTGGCCTCAGGCGCAGCACGGCGCTGGGATTCTTGGATTTTGTCTTCAAAGGCTTTAGGGCCGTTAGGGTTTAGGGTTTAGGGTCAAGGGTTTAGGGTTTTGGGTTTAGGGTTTTGGGTTTGGGGTTTAAGGTTTCGGGTTTAGGGTTTAGGGTTTAGGGTCAAGGGTTTAGGGTTTAGGGCCTTTATGGCTTAAGGTTAGTAGAGGGGTGGATGGTTGTTAAGGGCTTGTATAGTCAAAGGGTCTCAGGTTACAGTTGTATAGGAGAAGTAGGCTTTAAGGTGACCCCAAATCTATGTTTTGCCGTCAAAGGCTCCATCCTCATCGGGCTTCTAAAGCTTATAGAGGTGAGGATAGGGCTTAAGGATTTGAGGGTTAGGGTTTAGGGTTTAGGGTTTAGGGTTTAGTGTTTAGGGTTTAGGAATTTGGGGTCTAAGACTTGAGGGGTTCAGCCTGGGGAAAGCAAGCTGTGGCCATGTGCAGGTGGACCTGGACCGGCTCGCTGGCGCACCGCGCCAGTGCCTGAGCAGTCTTTGCAAGAATGCCCTAGGCATGTAGTTAGGGTATAGGGTTTAGGGTTTAGGGTTTGGGGTTTAGGGTTTAGGGTTTAGGGGTTAGAGTTTAGGGGTTAGGGGTTTAGGGTTTAGGGTTTAGGGTTTAGGGCATGTGGGTGCTCTTGTGGTTTTCGGGTTAAGTTCCCCCTTATACTAACATAACAGTCCTTCATAGGGATTGGAGTAGGGGTACTTTAGACCCAGAGTAGGCCCTTGTCCCTCAAACCCTTACAGAGCATAGGGTTTAGGGTTGAGGGCTCAGGGTTCAGGGTCTAGGGTTTCAGGTTTAAGGTTTAGGGTTTAGGGTTTTGAAACCATTGTCCTACCAGAGTTTTGGCAGCCGCGGGTTCTAGGGTCCCAGATGTAGCCGCAATGTTATTCCCAAAAGCCCTGAGCGCTCCAAAACCCTGAAACCTTTCTTTCCCCAAGCCCCCAGAACCAAAACCCCACCAGAACCCTGCACCACTATCACCCTCAACCTCTCCCCAAAAACCGATTGTATCCAGTCTGGGCCTGAACCCTAAACCCTACACCCTAGACCGTAGACCCTAAACACTAACCCTTAAACCTTAAAACCCATCCCGGCCATCCCTCCACGCTTAAACCTTGGTAGCCCTGTAGTACCCTTTACCCTTCTTTTTTTGGTTCTGGGATTCCTCATCACGTAACCCAGGGTTTAGGCTTTCGGGTTTAGGGTTTCACCCAAAAAGGGTGCCCTTGTGATGATCTGGTTGCTGCGCTACCAAGAAACCCTAAAGCCACCAAACCACAGGTCTCGACACACTGTGCCGCTGCATAGCTGCCACCTTCCACCTCGGGGCACCGGGATTGCCGGATCCCTGGGCTATCCGAGTGCTCGTGAGGTTTCGGGTTCCCTAAACCCTAAACCCTGAACCCTGAACCCTAAACCCTCAACCCTCAACCCTGAACCCTAAACCCTAAACCCTACATTTCGACAGGGGCTCCAGGTCATTTTTGTAAGTTACG